ATCATTATGGGGGGGGGTGAATTTTATGGGATTTCGTAGGATTGTATGCAATAAGGTTTTTAAAATGTTATAAACATTTATTTTGTAATTATTGATTAATAGAAATGTAATTTAATTATATTTATAAATAATGGAATCCAATTTCATTCAAACTCTTACAAACCAAACACACCAATGATTTTAAGTCCATTTCAATCCAAATCCCTCCATGAAATCCACATCCCTAAAAAACAATCATGCAAACCAAATGGACCCTAATGGGGCGTTTGGTTCGCCGGAATCTGGTAGAATTGGAATGGTCAATTTCGTTGACCAATTTCCATTCCAACGTTTGGTTACTGCTTGCTTGCTTTCGATTTCTGCTTATGATGATCTCGACCGATTACTGCTTGCTTCCAATTTCTGCTTGCTTGCTTCCAATTTCTGCTTATCAAACACCAAAATCAAACTGATTACTGCTTGCTTCCAATTACAGCCACTGAAACAATAGTAATCAAGGTTAACGAAATCAGAACCAGGCGATCGCCGATTTCGAAATCAAAAACAACCAACGGCTCGTCTCTGGCGAAGGAGGAGAGGAGAGTTCATGGACATTGGCCACTGCTGTTGATGATGGTGTCATAGTGTGAAATTTAACTGGGGAATTTTCTAGGGTTCTTGATTGAAATCGGTACTGATGGTGGTGAAGTTATGGGTATCAATGATCAAAAATAGAAGAATTACAATCACCATTTCTGTTTTAGATGCTTCCATTGGATTTCTTCAAAACAAAAAGAAACAAAAAAAACCCTAGAATCAAAATCCAAAATAGCGATGACAAAGAACAATAGTTCTTGGTTCGTAGTGATGATGAAGCACTGAGAGTAGAGGGATTTCGATTTCATTTCCATGACAGTGCAAATTCTAACCATAGGCCACCCAAATTCATCCAAATTAATAGTGAATGAAATATTTTAATATTATAATCAATACTGAATTCTTCAAAATAGAAAATCTGTTGGAGATGAATACCATTTCTTTTTTAAAGATTTCGACCTATAATTCTTCATTTTAAAGAAATTTAAGGGAATCTGTTGAAGATGCTCTAATTATTTGAATCTTTGACAAACCCATTTATTTAAAAAAAAATAGATAAAATAATCACAAGGGTGGTGTATGATTGGTTTGAGCTTGGCTGCAAAGATCAAAAGTATCAGAAGGTCTCATGTTCAAATCCAAGGAGGAATAAAAATCCTCTTGTGGCCATGGAGGTTCAAATGCGGTGACTCCGAGCTATCTGCTAAACAGGTGGTCGCCCTAGGATTAGTCAGCTCGCATAGCGGATTGGATATCCAGGTTAATGAAAAAAAAAAAGATAAAAAATATATTTTATATACTATTGAAATATTTAAATATAAACCACAATAAGAAAGTTCTATTTTGGTACAAGAATGAAATGATAATTCAATGTATTTCTCTCTGACTAAACCATTTTCCCAGTATTTTATAGGAGCTGTCAAAGATGATCTAAATTCTTTCTTAATCAGTATTATACCTATGTATCTGATGAGCAAAATCGAACCTTTAACGATTCTTTTAACCTATCTGGGATATGCATTGTGCATTGTGATCAGATAGATCGTAGATCCACATAAAAAGTGGCAGCTACTGATCAGTGGTATCACTGATACTGTTTGTAGTAACGTAAAAAAATATTATTTGACATTACTGGTATCTATTTGGTGCCATCAGTGACAGAAATAAAAAAATTGAATTCGCCTCGAGGTGTGACCAAACGAAGAAGATATTTTGTTTTTAAGTCCATTTCCATGATACTTAACCTTTAAATCTAGACATAGTCGGCTTTCATTGATACTCGATGACTATTTTTTTTCCTTTTAAAGTATGAAAACGTTCCGTCTTAAAAAACGTTAACGTCCTTTTGCTTTCCGATAGTTATACATTCATATCTAAATGCATCGAACGTGCTTCTCACGTTAATTTGAAAATTAATGTTTAACAGAAGCTTCGAATTTAATTGTTTGAACTCAAATGTTTGGTATTTATTAAATTAGACACCTTACTATATAATGCAAAGCTCATATTTAAATTCATCAACTCGTCTGTTTGCTTGCGTAATTTGGATTAGCGGTGACAATTTTGTATTAAACCAAACCAGCTAATATGTGAACCAACTGTACCAATTACAGGCGGTTGATAGTACTGTACCAAGTATGCAAACTTGATTCGTACATGGTGTTAAAAGTCATGTACCACGATAGTACTATGGTATTTACTTTTTTTTGAATTTTTTTACATATTGAATCTTAAACTTTGTAACTATGATCGTTTTATTTGAACATCAAATTTTGAACAAAATAACAAGTTTTCATATATATATATATATATATATATATATATA